CGGTTGACAAGCATTTTTAATAGTACATTAATAGTGTGACCACTTCCAGGATTAAGTAAATTTCGCTAATCAAAAGCTTAAGTGACAAATCCCACAATTGTCATATTATCAGCAATTAAAACATATTTAACATAATTTTATCTATTATTCATTTAAATGATTTTTATTTTTATTTATTTATTTATTACCGAATTGCGATTTGGTAGAAGTTATTTCAATTTCAATTTTTTCCTTCGTTCATAAGGGAGGGACTTCCCCTTTATTTCCTGCCAACGCAGTCGCCATTTTAATTTTCTTTATTGCATCTTTTAGCAGAATTAGAAAAATGTTTACACGAGTTTCACACGCTTTTCTCGCTTTTCACGCTTTTCACGGCATGACGACATGATGGCATGAAGAAGCGTTTTAATCTTTGAAATTGAAAGCCATAATCAGTGTGAACTTCTCTAATCTCCTGCGGTGAGATTCAAATAATCATCGAATCCATTTAATCTATCTTGGGTTGCATAAATCAGTGATTGTGGGAAATGAATAGAAAATTGAAAGGCAAAAGGTTTTATTTCGAAGAACTCGTTTTCGCAATTAAAAGTTTTCCCAGAAGGTTAAAGCTCACGGGAAAAATTTTTATAAAAACATTAAAAACGACAATTTTCACTTAAAGCACAATATAAAATTGAATATTTTTCGAATAAATTGCCTACATTTACTAGAGTTACAGAACAATTTAATAATGTTAGAGATAAAATTTGAATTTATTTTAAATACTTATTTCTATACATAAACGTTTACTTTATAGAGAAGAAAAAAATTGTAACGACGCTAGTGAATTGAAAAATTAAAAGAAAATTAAAACGGTTATGAGTTCAGTTTTTTAATTATTTTAAATTCAATTGATGAATAAAAAGGGTTGATGTGCTGAATAAAAAAATAAAAGCTTATAGTATGTCCTGCCAAAAATTCATGCCCTGCCAAATTCAAAGCTCACAGCCAGTGTTCATTAACTAACTGCCCCAAAGCTGTACTTATATGTTCGACCCTGGAGTTTTGTGAATTTGGTGTGTAAGTTCATTAACAAATTCTCTATTAATATTTTTTTTTTTGCTTAAATATGAATATAAAAATTTTTGGACGTATGAAAATTGTATCAAAATTATTTTTACTTTAAGAAAACTTTTCGTAATACAATCGAACGGGGAAATAAAAATTAAGCGAAAATAAAAATAAAAAATTGGGTCAATTGCAATTGCTATGGAGAAAAGGTTGATTTTGCAAGCGATTGGCAACATAAAAATTTGCTGGCATATTCAATCGCATATGGGAAAACCAACCTCATACTTTTCCACTTATTTTGTCTGAAATGTTTGTGAGATTTTAAGAGTGCTCTGCGTTTCTCCACTGCCACATTGCAGTGCTAAATTTCTTTTGTTTATGCATAAATATGTATACTACTTTTTGGCCAACTTTCCAGCTCCAACAGGCAAAGCATAAATTCTACAAATCTGAATGCGGGTGCATACGACAGACGCACTTAATAGCGAAATGGTTGCCAACTAACTGCTTTCGAACAGAACTAAGAGTAGCTGGTCAGGGAATTCGAGCATAAAAAATCCTTTGCATTTATCATTGTTTCTGATAGTTTTAAAACTTTTATCTGTAACAATTAAGCCAATGCGTATTCCAGTTAAATATTTTAAATACTTTTTTTATACCATTAATTATTTGTTTTTACAACTGAAAGTAATTGTAAGCTATAAAAATTCGAAGCAGTTCTATATTATAAAATTTTGATTTTGTAATATTTCATTCAAGTTTATATTTCTACGAAAATATGTTATATATATTAACCACATTTAACTAAACAAATAAAAATTTGGTATATATCGAGAATTTTAATTCAAAATTTAACTACTCGATCCGGCCAAAATAATTGTTATATTTACTATTTTAAGGAGCTTTACTTACTCATACTAAATAAATTTTGAAATTAAAGGAAAAGGAAAAACCAAATAAACATAATAACGTCTTTCCAAATTCTCCAATTCCAAGTAAAAACTTAAATGCATTTCATATTAAAAAGAATAATGTATATCGAAATACAGCATAATGACTTGTCTAAAACACTTTTGTATCCAAAAACATATCCATTGTTTTTAAGAGCATTGTTATCAAAATACGAATGTCACAATCCTTGGAAAAGCTAAATAAAAATGCTGAAATATCTGAAAACTGTTTATTTTCGTTGCAATGCAGAGCGTCTCCAAGTTGTTACACGACGTTTGAGTAACCCAAGTTTTGATATTTTTTTAATGCAAAATGCTTACATTTTGCATATTTACTATTGTCCTAAGGAAATGAATATCGAATAATACATAAATGCATGTAATAATAATGCATGAGTACTAAAACAATACATTCGTAGTGAAATGTATTCAAACGGAAATAGTAGCATTTCAATAAAACATTTCATATCCTTCAGGTCTTGGAGGACATTAATGTTTCGTACAGTAATTAAGTAAAAATCAATTTAAAATTTAATTTATGTCAAACTACATACGTTATTTAAGTTTTATTTTTATTAACTTGTTTAAAACATGTGTAAATAAAACAATCCTTGATTCAAAAGATTAAGTGAATCAAAGAATTAAAATACATTAATATATTTTCATTTTTCCAAAATATGTATTTTCCATGAAAAACATAATTTTTATAAGCCTGAAGGCGTATTATTTGAAAAAAAACTATTAATATAATAAGAATATAAAATAAATATACATATATAACTAAAACCAGTATAAATTAGAAACGAAATCCTATTCAAAATTATAAAACCATATAAAAAATGCAAATACAGTCAAACTCCCATAAATCGAACTTTTATAACTCGGATTTTCTATAACTCGAACCAAACACAGTGCACCAAGATTTTAGAGAGCAAATTACATACAATTCTACTTCCATAACTCGAATTTTTCTATAACCCGAACAAAAATTTTCTTCCGTGCCGATAGTAATATGGGAAAGTGCATTTTATAAGTCGAATTTTTGTTTTAAGTAACATATAAATGCATTTTTCTGTTAGGGGAAGTCCCATTTTCCAAACCAAATGTTTGATTTTTTCTTCCTTATGTTGCTTCTTTGTGCAAACGGCAGCCGCTGAAATCGTAAATAAAATAACTTTTAATGCTACACCTAACGATTATATTGAGCTTGACAATGAAATTTGTACATCAAGCTTTCCTACAGATGACGATTATTGAGCACTATAGCTCTAAATAAACTGAGTCCAATTATAAGCGCAACGGGTTCGGAGGGTTCGATGGATGTAATTATTCATCAAAATTATGAATTTATATTTGTAAACGAATGATACTACAACTGATGATCACTATAAAGCTTAAAAGCTTTACTAAATATATGAAAAAAAAAAGTTAAAATCCCAAACCTTTATTTCTGAGTATTTTACTTGACTATAACTTCTGTGCTATATTTAATTTCAAATAAATAAATAAATATCATAGGATGTAATTCTAGTTTCTTTTAAAAATAAATAAAAATAAAAACTCGAAGTCTCCATAAGTCGAACCTTTTCTTTGCAAAATTGAACTTCGAGTTATGGAAATTCGACTGTATATGAATTAATGCATGTATTGAAAATAAATTCAGCATTAAATAACAAAAATTAAAGAAACTTTCTATAAAATTTAATTTCTTAAGAACAAAGTAATTAATTGGAACCCGCAAGGCAAACGAAGAAAAGGACATCCAAAACATCATGGTGACGAACACTACATGTCGAGTCTTATGTAGCAGGGAAACAATGGAACGAACTAAAAGTAATCGCCAATAATCGTACGAAATGGAAATGCTTCAAAGTAATTAAATAGTTTTATTTTAAAATATGAAATAAATTAAAAACAGTCATATAGATTAAAATTAAATTCAAATATGTATGTTATATAAAATATTAATTTCCGCAGTTAAAAAAAGAATAGATTTGGTTAGAGTAACAGCCTTATGAACTAAAGCTCACTTAAGCACAAATAATGATGTGATACCACGGTTAAATAATCGTTTATTTGTCATAGCTAAGTAACGAACTCAAATGTATAAATGATATACACTTAGTGAAAGGCCCGCGTCTATTTTTAGAAGACGTAACTCCTTTATGCAAGTTGAAAGGAATCAAACTGATAAGTATATAAGTTTAGCTATATTTTAAAGGATGACACCTTTGTCAGATAAGTTAAAAAGTCGCTATAATGATTTTAAATCTTATTCAAGCCAATTTGTACACTTACTCATGAGAAAGTGTACAATTTCTTCCACATTCACAGAGTCACAACCCTGTCAAAATTCGTTAGATGGTGGAAAAAGTCGTATTTTATGCCTTCTTTTTACACAGTGATTTGTCACTATTGATTACTAAGTGAAATACTGAGTGTTAATTATTGAGTTGCCTCTGCTTTAGCTAAAACCAATAACTAGTACATATTTTATCCAATATGAACCAAATGAGTCTGCATGTCGCATGTTGACCATATTTATGCAGAATCAAAAATGATTCTTGTAAAAGAGCATAACCAGCTGCTGTCCAAGCAATATCCTCTTGCGTATCACACAGATGAACGTCGCAACGACTCCATATTCAGTAGAGCCTCCCCTCCAAGATGCATTTGTTGATTCTCTTGTACTTATCACAGTTATATAGACACCTTTTACAATAGAGCCAACATTGGTGAGGTCAAATATAAACGTGGACTTAAATTTACATTTTAATTATTAAATAATTTATTATTATTTTTCATGCAACTTAACTAAACAAATACGATGTATTTGTTCACATTAACTTTATTGACTATACTTCATTTAACCACAATGGATAAAGTCCGTAACATGATAATTAATATTTTTTGTTAAGTAAGATTCTAAAGCTAGAATTTACAAAGTCAATACTAAATTAAGTTTTGAAAAAAATTAATTGAAGATTATATATAGTTTTTTTATTAAACTGGTATATTAAAGTCTAAGCATTTATCGTTAAAGCATCTTAGGTATCATCACTTAGTATGATAATTTCATTCTTATTTTCCAGTTAAATTTGAGTTAGATTCCTCGACTTGACCCCTTACACTCACTTGCTTAGATAATAATTTCTGATATGTAGTTTTGGTTAGTAACAAGCGATGTTCTACGGTAAAGTTTCGTGTTAACTCTTCAAAAGCATTTGCTTCTTCACTAAACTCATTCCAAAACTGTTTTTCGCCATTATAGTTACACAATTTTTTAAAGTTATTATATATGCTAATAGCTTTTTCACGGATTGTTGCAGCTTTGGTTACAAATCGTGCAAGATCGTCGCTGCTTAAATTCCAATTGGCAAGGTTTCCCACATAGCGACACAACCGGCGCATGATGTCTATGCAATCGGGATTGCGAAGCAACGACAATTTATTTATCTGAAACATCTTAATCTTGTCCAATATATCGAGACATCTATCAACACTTGCACTTTTCAATCCTAAGCATTTTCGTAATTGTTGGAATAGTGCAACAAAATCCTTCTCAGCAATGAGAACGGTTTTACGCTCAACCATTTTCGCATTAAGAATTGCAGAAATTTCAGAGTTAAGGTCTTCAAATGGAACTTCCACGATAGGCATGTTTTTTACTAAATCTGGTGTAATTTCACCAATTTCTAAACGTTCTTTTAATGATTCCGCTTTATTCCGTGCTGTGGCTTCCCATTCTACACGTTCACTAACAGATGAAAATGATTTCGGTTTATTCTTACCAAATGTTATGGCAATGCATTTTTGACTTGGAAGCATGGCAAACAACATGTTATTATAGTTTAATTTCACCGTTGCTGCTCTTGGATTATTTGAATTTGTGATTTTAGATGGTTTTGCCTCAGCACTAACACCTAAAGTATATTATACTATATTAGTTTAAAAATTTATAAATTAAAATAGCAAAATTAAAAGCTTATGTTTAAATTGTGTATAAATGTAGCTTTACAGTTGGTAAAGCAACAAGAGACTGATTCGATTCAAATTAACCAATTTATGCTTCCGTAAGAAATTGTGCCAACTATTCCAAAACACATGGTAGTCTCATAAAATCAGTTATTCACTTTACCAATGAATTAAATTTGCTATATATAAATGTTAAATCACTTAATTACCTTTCTGCAGAACTTTGCGATTTGCCCGCCTTGTGGCTACATCCTTGTCACTACAAGTATTATTGGCTTTAATAGCATCTTCGATTTCTTGAATTGCTTTGCAGAAATTGGGCTGATTTAATTTCCGTGCAGTACAAAATTTGTTTTTATTTTCTTTATATTTGAAAATATTTTGGACTTTAATCGTTGCGGTGTCCGCAGTTCCAAAGAAAAAAACTTTGTAATTCCTTGTACTGCCACTTGTAACTTTAGCAGGCCATGGTGGGTAGCCTTGAAGTCTGGCAAACACATAATCTCCCACATTGAATCGCTTAAACACTTTTTGCTTCTTAGGCATATTTGTTCTCCACAATTTAAAAATTATAGGTCTCAGATTCCTTCAACAGGCGCATTAAGATAAGCCGTACAAGTAACGCTGTCAATTTTTTTCCCGTTACATTACACTACGGCTACGCTACAAATACAGAGACAAAAATATATGCACCAGAGTTGTATTTTCTAATATTATTATTCAAATTTGATATTTTTAAGGTTTCCTTAATATTCTCATTTAACATTTATATACTGGTAGCTTGTTAAAGTTTACTATTATATTTAATAGTTTTGGAATAGGATAAATTAATAATTATTAAATTAATTAAATGAAAGTATTTTATACAGAAAACATCCTTTAATGAATGAATGTGTTTTATATAATTTAATTTAATTTAAAAATAAATGTATATGGAAAAATACTTTCACATTTCGGTTGATTGTTAAAAAAATGAAATTCAATTTAATGAGTATTATTCAGTATTACCTATGTCTTAAACATTTTTTCTCAACTATTCTCAACTAAAGGCAATTTGACAGAACTAGAAATTTCTGAATTTGTTAAAAGACTAATAGTATTTTGATAAAATTTAATATGTAGTGTTCCAAAATCAATCTTCGATAGTAACTGCCAATTCTATCAAAAATGATCTGGACTCAGCACAAGATTGTGATCACTGTATAGTTAACCTAAAATTATTTAAGCTACCCTCAATATCTTGATCCTTCGATTACAAAAAAAAAATTAGTGCATTCCATGCATAACGGCTGAAGTCAGTAACAAGTCGCTTTCATTTGATTATTATTGAATGTGAATACTTTTTTGTTATTAATATTAGATTACTGAATTATTGTTGTTGCTTCATTGTTTAAATTAAATAAATTCTTAAAAAAAATTGTGAAAATAAAAATACGAGTTTTGTTGGTTTATGTCAGGGCTGTCCAGACTAAATAAGATCACGGGCCAATACAAACTGAAGAAAATTTAGGCGCACAATTAATCCAAAATATATTTTCAACTATTATAGGTACCTGTTTATTTGAAAACCCTGTGTGGATCGCTTAAAACTTAATTAGAAGTTCTTAATTTTTGTGGTTAATTTTTATATTATTAGGAATAGGGATTATTACTATTTAAAAAGTTAAGCTGCGGAATCTTTTTAAAGATACTTTGGGTCAAATTATTTCAAAATATAATATGTTTAATTAAACTTTTCGCACTACGGAGAAACTCGACTAACATGTTTTCAAACTAATAAAAATATATTTAAGTAGTTTATTTGTATGTGAAGTAACTATAAAAGTAGCGTGAATATTTTGTGTAAATATTATCCTTCCACAATGAAAACGTATCTATTTTCATGGAAAATTGTAATAACCATAAAAACTTTAGAAATTTTATGTAACCAGAAATTCATATAAACGTTGCATTATTACATATTATGAGTAATTATTAGTCTTGGTATAAAAAGTAAAAATTTTCTCAACTCAACTTTCCATTTTTGTGTTAACGAAACCTTACACCATACAGTTTTCCAACCGGATTCTATGAAACCGAAGTGATAAGCCAGACGCCTCTAGAAAAATTCTCAAAGCAATATTTAAAACGCTTTAAAGTTTCCTAATTAATTTTGTGTTGGTAGATGATGATATTTATGAGATACTTTAAGTTTATGTATTTAGTTTAAATTTGTGTAAAATGAACATAAGTATAGTATACCATAAATGAGTATATAACAATGGAAATGGAAATTTATACTAGAATATTTAATAATAATAAGAAATGAAACAGACTAAGTAAATAGAGACTTCGTTAAGATATTGATACTTAAGATGTCCTCCTAAATATTACCAAAACTTATACAAAACAAGTAATATATTCTATTTTAACAACTGAATTTTCTCTCTAAAGTGGTGTATTCTAAGTAATTAGAATTATAAAACAATAAGCAATTCAACGATTATATATATAGTATATATTATAGTGTATTTAATATATATCAATACTTAGTATATCACTAAACATTAGACCCGTATAAGTTTAAAGGACTAATCTTCCATCTTTATTTTTGGGATATATTATTTATTCAATTAAGAAGTATTTATTACAATTATAATAAATTTGTTTCCACAAATCTAAGACTTCTAATTGGAAATCAATAATAAATATGATAAATACAAAAATTTTTATAAAGGCGTTTAAGATATGTTGTGCATATCTACATAAATGCATAGAGTTTTAAACATTGGATATCGATAAATTTTCTTTAACAAATGAATAATTTTCTATATATATCAATTTTTATAAATGACGTCATTGATAAGTTTAAAGGTAAGCTTTTGCACATATTATGAAGCACTGCTTATATAAAAAATCTAAATTTTCTATCAAATGAAATACGAGGGTGGTGTTATAAGTCAGTGACTTTTTGAATTTCCCGCGCAGTTACTCCAAATACAACAGTGCTGCCGTTAGCTGTAATCTACCAGTGGGTAACTTTTTAATTTTGAGCAAGCTACGTCGTTCAGTTGGTGTTTGATAGCCGTTCAAAGCAGACAACCTCGTGAATTTTTACGAAAATGGAAAAAAGTGAATTTTGTGTGCTGATTAGGCATTACGATCCTAAATCCACGAATTCTCCAGATTTAGCCCTCTGCGATTTTTTCTGTTTCCAAACCTAAAGAAATGAGGAAAATCACTTTTATCCATTTTCGTAAAAATTCACGTGGTTGTCTGGTTTAAACGGCTATAGAACACCAACTGAACGACGTTTCTTGCTCAAAATTAAAAAGTTGCCCACTGGTAGATTACAGCTGACGGCAGCTGTAATAATTAGTACTAAGATCTTAATCTTAGTACCGATTATTAGAATATCGATATGACCAGCAGCATATCGATGTTACCAGGACATCGATCAGTTGCATCAAATGTCGTTTCACTGAATTTTTGAAAGACTTGCTTTCATATAAACGAATTTCATAAAAATTAAGCTTATTTTTTAATATAGATTTTTCTCAGAAACTCAATTTTATCAGCGAAATTAATGTAAATAATATTATTAAATTTAAAAAATTGTAAAAAATTTATTGAAATTTATTTTTAAGTACATTACTTTATTTACATACATATATTTTTACACTACTTAATAATTTTTATTTGCCAAAAACAATTTGAATTGACACAAATTTACATTTCTTTAATATACCTAGAATAGATTTTTATTTCGTTTTACAAAAACGAAAACTGGACTTTTAATTTAATTAACAAAATGAAATCTCTTAATTTTAGACAACAACTTATACATTTTCATAGAAAAAATAAATTTAATAGTTTTTTTGTTTCGTTTCAGAAGACCATAGACTTCACTCACAATAATTTTAATATACTTAAATTTTCTCAATATAGGGTTTCATAATCCAAGACAGGTCACTTCCAAAAATAATTAAAGTTTCAACAAATCTTTAAATTTTAACAATTTCTTCTAAATACAGCAAATTTACTTGGATAATCTACTATGTATCTAATAAAAAAATTAATTTCAATAAATGTACTTTATTTTCCACTTATTAATTACCTTAATAATATCATAGCAGGTATTGTTGAGTATTTTAGGAACAACCAGAGCAACTAGAGCACATGAGGGAGGTGCTGGTGATAACATACTTTTATTTTTACGCAAAAATTTCAAACATATCGCTTGCCTATCCGAATAATAGATGTTATAAGTGATTGGTAAAATCACTCCGGCTTACGTTTAAATATCAATGATTTGATATGAAAAGCAATGGCGATATCTATAATATTTTCTTTGGGATTTGCGTTAAATAATACTTCAAAAAATTTATTCAACATTATTATATTAAGATAAAATAAAAAGTACTTACCGTTTTTTTAGCAGCACGAAGATTAATATAATTAACCATTAGTTAAATGTGGTGGGCTATACAGACTGGAAGGAAGCAAGTGATGTGAATTTCCACCCAATTCTGTATTATTCGTAAATAAGATTTTTTTGGTTAAATACGACTTCATAAATAATTTATATCAACTTTTAAATTATATATATACATATATATTTAAATTATAAATAATATTATACTAAAATTGTACTCACATTTTTATTCCAGTCTGCTTTGAAAATGTATTACTTATTAGCAACAAATTTGACGACGCTTTTTCTTCTTCTTGCACGGATTACGCTTTGGCTTACACGTTGGCTTCTTCTTCTTAGCACACGGATTGCGTTTCTTCTTCTTAGCACATTTATTTGGCTTCTTCTTCGCACAACCCTTTTTCTTCTTTTTCTTTCCACATGTTCCACATTCCATAGCTAAGTCATCGAGGATGCCTTCAATACTCTCCATATGGTACTTAAGTTTATCTTTGCATGGTAGGGTAGCCCAGGCCGCTCGCGCTGCTTTCGCAACCTGAACTAGTGTCAGGTCCTTGTTGGAAGCATAAAACTCCTCAATAAAATTTAAATAACTATTACTCATCTCAATTTCCTTTTAATAAAAACTTTTCCAACTCAAATAAAATTTAAACAAATAATTTTTGAAGAGCCAAATTTCGTAATTTACTTTACGTAAAATAAAAACTATATGACAAAATATTTTCCATTTATTTTATTAAAAACATTTTTTTAAACATTTGACATGAAGATGTGATTTCAATTTAAGAACTATAAGCAGTGAAATTAATTAGGTTTCACTTAGTTTTGTGGAATTGCTCTATCATGTTAACTATAATAATCAAAGTTGTAATTATTAATGCTGTAGAATATTATGTAAATCTTTGGAACTGGTTCATAAATAAGACCTGGGAAGCACATCGACGAAAAAAACGTATATCTAAATCCTGTGTCTACAATTTTACGCAATTTTTGGTCATGACCATAGGGCATAGTATATAGATTATAAGTCTCTGAATATACCATTTAACAGCTTGAAACTGTTAAATGGGTTATCTATGGGATGTTTAACTTGTGTTTGATTTGTTATACACTAGCGATCGTATTGATGGGCCATTTTGAATTTAAGGCCATTATGCCAGACCTTGTCAAAGTCTTTGGCTATGTCGAATATTATCATCCCGGTTGATTTTCGGGATGATAGAGCGGTTTGTATCAGCTACGAAGTTCTGGCTAATTGTAGTTCCGTGGAGAGATTATCCCTAAACCCGAATTGTTCGTTCGGAAGGATATTTAGAGCGTTCACCACTGTTTTTAGCCCTGCCAGGATTACTCGTTGTGCCAGCTTCCCCAGATTTGGAAGCAGGCTGATGGGACGCCAGTTCTAGTATTATCCTAAACTTTTAACGTTTGTTAATCTCACACATTATGAGAGTAAAACTTTAACAAATTTCTTCATGTTGAGTATAAAAGAGTCCTTTTATTTACGGGTTTGTCTTGCTGAAATTCGTAGCAATTATATCAGATTAGAAAATTTTATTTTTAAAAATAAATTTCGTTTAATATATAAATTAAATACACTATATTATATATACATTAAGACTGAAAAGTTTTCGGAAATTCTCATTTAAAATTCGCGCGCTGTATATTTTTCGATATTTTAAGTTTATGTAGTTTGGCAGCACTGTCCTTAATTACTATGCCAAAAATGAGCGCGATCTGTCAGACAGTTCGTTTACGGCAGCTGTTGAAACCAGTTCCCCTCAGTAGTGCGTTGCGAAATGTCTTCGACGGTCGTACGACCGTCCTGAAAGGCTTTGTACCACTCATAAACTTGAGTTTTCGATAAAACTGATTCCCCATAAGCCTTTTGTAGCATTCGCAACGATTCTGCACACGAAATTTCGTTCGAAACACAAAATTTGATGCAAACTCTTTGTCCAATATTTTTTTCCATTGTTTTTTTCGCAACGCACTACTGAGGTGAACTGGTTTCAACAGCTGCCGTAAACGAACTGTCTGACAGATCGCGCTCATTTTTGGCATAGTAATTAAGGACAGTGAAACTACATAAACTTAAAATATCGAAAAATATACAGCGCGCGAATTTTAAATGAGAATTTCCGAAAACTTTTCGGTCTTAATGTATAATGCTATTACATATCTCCGTATGTGTAAACACATTTCAATCAAAACTACAAATGATTTCAACTACAACTGACATATAGTTAAATATAAAAATATGTGATTATCGAACAATATGGCATTGCGAATCTAATATTGTAGAAATGTCAAAGAGAAATGTAAATTTTTAACCTCTACTTTCCCCTATGTTTACTATTGACATATATAATCTTTATTATTAACTGGTGAAACCAAGTTGATATAAATAAATATATACGATATATTTACACCAGTTTAATTTTTGGCCGTCAGTGGTTAGAACCAATACTATAATACTAATACATAATAAGGTACTATGAGATAATATGTCTTCGTAGTCGTATTGCTATAATTAAAGATAAACTGCCATTTTTTTAGATTACAGTGAATAAACAAGTTGTTGAATTTTTAATAATGTCATATTGCAAAACTTTTGGTAAAGACAAGGTAATCTTTGTGACTAAGGAGGATCATTCAATGCCCAGTATGGTAGAGTTGCCACCTCCTGAACCACAACCAGGTATTATTACAAGCACTGGTGAAATAAACTGGAGCTGTCCTTGTTTAGGTGGCATGGCTACTGGTCCATGTGGAATTCAATTTCGGGATGCATTTTCATGCTTCCATTTTAGCACAGCTGAAACAAAAGGTTCAGAATGTTTTCAACAATTCCGTCTTATGCAAGACTGTTTTCAAGAGTACCCATCTGTTTATAATAAGGGAAGTGCTAACGTTAAGGAGAATTCACATATCGGAAACTTAAACCAAACTACAACTACAGTAGAAGAAACAATTGCTGGTGTCGATAAAAATATCGCTTAAAGAAAATAGAGTTTATACTATCTTTAAGCCTTTTGATTATAACTTTTTTAAACAATAACAAATAAATTTATTATAAGAAAAGCTGTTCTAAAATAAATGTTATTTAATTTATTAAATTGTTTACTAATGGAATATAATTTAGAAACATTTCTTTAAAAAAACTTTGTAAAAAAAACTTTTTTTTTATTAAATATCTCAAATAACAGTATATAAATTTAACATATATGCACTTTGTTTTCTATTGTTGTGTTTCAGTAAAAAAATGATGTCATTTTTGGCGGGTATCAATATATACATCTCTCATCCACCTATCAGAGTAATAATATCACCACCGTATGTAAATAAAGAAATGGAATAAAGCTACGGGGGTTAGTATGAAGAATCTTTATAAGCAACAGCCATAATATAGAACCTTTTAACATATGACATTAAACCAGCCAGTTGTTAAAATTTTGTAAAGTTTATGAAGAATGACGTCAGATCTGCTCGACAATGTTTTTTTTCAGAGCCCAATTAGTTTTACGTCACACAAAGTTATAGTGTTGGCTTGGCAATATAACTTCATAAGTTTTTGTCTTAAATAGATTATGAATTTAAACAATAAGTATTACTTCGTTCTAATTAAATTATTATTATTTAATTAATAAATTGTTAAACTAATAATTCAGAAATCAAAACTTGGCAGTAATCTCAGCAAATTTTAATTGCGGTTTTCAGCTATATACATAATAACCCAAGGACTTCGGTGATGTTCACTTTGGAGAGTTCTTTGAACTATCCCCTTTTTTACAAAAAAAAACACGTTTCCTCATTATTTGCGGTTAAAGACATATTACTAGATAAATTTAAACATAAGTCCTTACTCGGCATCAATATTGAATTGATGATCAGTTAAATGTGAGTATAAAAAAGGAGCAAAATGAAAAAAAATGTCACATTTTTTTTGTTTTATATATTTTATCCACGATTCTTAAGTATAATAGACTGTAGACTTAACGGATGATCGCTCAACTTCACTTTGATTTCGCTTAAAATAAAATTCACTGCATATTAAAAGTGTTATTACATAGAACTTAAGATGATTTTTATTAGTAAATCTTATAAAAACAGATCCAATTTCTTGTCCTAACACTTGACATACCAAAGGGTATCATCAATGTCACATAAAACTACCAATTATATCAATACGATTTTACTTATATATTTTGAGGTAAAATCAATTTCAAATTTAATATATATTGTATGTTCTAACCAAACTTCCGTAAAGCAATCGCAATGGGAAAAACTGCTTCCATTTTTCAGGCAGAGGTCCATGCCTTAGAGCTTTGTGCAAGAGAATGCATACGTAGGGGCACCCGAGGTACCAACATATGCATTCTATCAGACAGCCAAGCAGCTCTAAAATCTTTAGCAAAATCCTTATTCCAATCAAAGCTGGTTTGGGAATGCTTTCAACTTCTCAACACCCTAGCATCGAGGAACTATGTTACTCTTATGTGGGTACCGGGACACGAGGGGCATGAGGGAAATGAAATAGCAGACATATTAGCAAAGAAGGGTGCATGTACTCCTTTCATTGGGCCAGAGCCCTTCTGCGGGGTAACAAATAGCTTCACAAACAACTTATTATGTGAACGGGAGAAACAGCATCTACTTGAACACTGGAGAGCCCAAACAGGCATGCGACAGTCAAAAAGATTCATTGATCCTGAACACATCAAAGTTGATGCTATCATCAACCTTAGCAGAAATGATATCAAAATCTACACTGAACTTCTTACAGGGCACTGTAGACTTAATTACCACATGAAGATTATAGGTGCGGTAGAAAGTGATTCCTGTCGACTCTGTCATGAGGAGAAGGAAACATCGGAACATGTTCTATGCAACTGCCCAGCGGTGGCAAGACGTAGACTCGATTACCTTGGTAGCGGGATCCTGGTCCCAAATCAAATAGGTAAAATAAAGCCCACTGCAATTATAAGATTTATAAATAGTCTAAAATTGTCCTAGTTGGGCCTATAGGCGCACAATAGATCTTTTAGGTCGGGGTGCACAAATAGCCTATTTTTAAATAATAAT